CTTCTTATTATTATTATTATTATTATTATTATTCATCTTATTATTCTATTCTTTAGGTAAATGGAATTTCGAACTGAACCCTTTATTTAGGTAGCCTGTTCTATTTAGGGGTAGCCCGTTCTAGTCTGGGGTAGCCTGTTTTAGTTAGGGGTAGCCTGTTCTAGTTTGCGGTAGCCTCTTCTAAATCTAGCAAAACACGAGTACAACGGCCGAAACGTCAATAAAGGCAATAAAGATGAGAACAACAGTCCGAATAATGTATATAATAAAAATAGTATTTGAAGTAAGAAAATATACATAGGACTGACGTATTGCTATTCTCGTGATATTATCTGAACCTGTGAAAATAACAATTTTAACTCAGAATATAGGATGTTATAATAAAAGCAAAACTCAAATACAAGCTAAAACAGAAAATCTGCCCCAAAAAGACGCCGTTGTAAGCAAACATCTACACTGACTAAAAACAATTTTACTCCCTACATGTGGCCAGAATGGTACTAAAAGGAAATATTATCTTGAACTATCGTAAAACAATTGTCAGAGAATTTTATAAATATAAAAAAACACACAAGAATAATCATCAATAGAATATATTGTTGGCAAATTATATATAGAGAGAGTTTGTCTGACGATCGCAAAAGCGTGAAACCCAGGGTCACAAACTCACATCAGTCCAACCAAATATGTTAGCTCTATCTCTGATATTGAGCACTTTCTAATAAACACCGCGCATAAAATATATAAATAATAATATATATATATATATATATATATATATATATATATATATATATATATATATATATATATATATATATATATATATATATATATATATATTTATATCTTTATATTATATACACACAGTTTTCACACACACACACACATATATATATATATATATATATATATATATATATATATATATATATATTGTAGCAAGGCTCGGGGGACACTCGAGTTAGAGATCTACGTTAGGAGTTATCTGGTGCGGATAAGGAAAGGTAACAGTTAACCCTAGCCTTGAACAGGTTAAGATTGTAGTTAAGATCGGGAAAACATTCTCCTGGGAATCGATTCCACAGAACAGTGGTTCGCGGGACGAAGATACATATTTATATATGAAATTCCCAACACAACAAAACTACCTTCTGGCTTTTGAAAATGACTTAACAAACGTAATCAATAATATGGAAATAAGAAAATTCAACAATAATTCCCCCCCCAAAAAAAATGACTTGAAAAAGACCAAAATATTATAAATAAGTAAAAAAAAAAAATTCATAAGAGAAGATAAATCCAGGATAATGTATAAAATGGAACCCAACTATTACAATAAAGAAAGAAGTCAATAAATTTTACAAAAATACTAAAAACGAAAGAGAAAGTGATATAATCAAAGATGATAAAAACATAGCTACTAATCTAAAATTAGAAAATAAAATAAAACAATTAGCAAAAGTAGAACGATTTATTAAATTAAAAGCTCACAAGGTCAATTTCACGACGAAACCAGCATGCAGATTACCAAGCTACACAAAAAGCAAGATTCGGAAAATAAACAAACAAATATTAGAAAAAATATGCTCAAAACTGAGAAACTAAACATGAACCAATGAAAAAGCACAAAGGCAACAATCATTTCGTTTAATAACATAATTAATAGAGGAAACTGTTCATTCAATTAGACTTTTACCCATCTATTAATGAGAATACATGAAACAACGCATTAAACATAGCAAAAAAATACAGGACTATTCCAAAGGAGGGCATAAATGTAATTAAACACTACTGAAAATCCATATTATACAACAATAAAAGAATATGGGAAAATTGTGCAATAATAATAAGAATAAGAATAAGAATTTTGAGGTAACATTGGGTAGCTATGATGGTGCTTTTTTGGCATATGCATAATCTATAAATTAACAAAAAATTATTAACAAAAAATGATATAGGTCTATACAGGGACGACGGCCTATTAATTCAAAGAAACTGCAAAGGCAGAATTACAGAAAAAGTAATATAAGAAATAATAAAAAACCTTTAGAAACCTAGGATTTACAATAGATATAAAATTCAACCAAAAATAGTAATTTTTTTATATATAACATTCAACTGAACCTACAAACCATACAAAAAACCAGACACGAACAAAATATACATTAACAAAAATTCTAACCACCCGCTTATTCAAAGATAAAACATTTCTATAAATAAAAGAATTTCAAGAAATTCTTGTAGCCTAAAAATATTCAATTAAAATAAAAGCCAAATGAATTAACCTCACAAAATAGTGGATATTCAAACAAAAAAAAAACAATTCAATCAAAAACAACAAAAAAAGAAATATAATTTGGTTCACAAATTCCTCTAAACAATACAATTAAACAAAAAATTGAGAAAATTTTCTTCAAAATAATTGACAAAGACTTCTCTAAAAACAGTAAATTATCAAAAGTTATCAACAAAAATACAATTAAAATGAGTTACATCTGCATGGATAACATGGAGAAAAAAATCACTAAGCACAATAAAAAAAGTACTGAACAGAAGCAATACCAGTTACAATAACAATAGCATGCAGCAAAATGAAATAATATACGAAGCTATTGTAACTAATAACATTAATACAGACGAAAAAATTACATAGGCGTCATAGAAAAAACATTTAAAGGTATTATAATCACAAAATTCCATTCGAAAAAAAAACACAAACAATACAACACTATCAGAATACATGTGGTGCCAAAAAAGAAAAATATATCCCCATCCAAATTCAATGGGAAATTATAAAAAGAGCAGACCCATACAATATTAACATTAAAAATTGTAAACTATGTTTAGAGGAAAAATTAGCAATAATTAGTTTTAAAAAAACAAAATATACATTAAACAAGAATTTCGACTAATATTCTCATTAGGTTTTTGAACAAGCGACGTGCTTAAAGAGTTTATACAAAGAATTCACAATTGTTACCACGGTTCTTTTACGCCAAGCGTTTACCCACACGAGTATAAATCATTATAATGTATGTTTGCAAGCTGATCAAATATGCTAATCGACCGGTTAGGTGTAGTCGTTTGGGCGCCTAACGTTTTATTGGAAATAAGATCAGTTAATCACAAAAAAAAAAAAATAACTGTAATGTAACTTTATTTCAGACACGGCAAATTGTAGCCCGCTTTGCTCTTTCTGAATGGAGCGTTTAATTTCATAAGTAAAATAACGTTTCTTAAAATGTCAATTTTTTGTTTGGTTCTCACTTGTTCACTCGCATAATCTCTCACACATCAATATATACATAAACAACGTTTAAGTTTGATGTTTCTTGAATTTTGTAAAATTTTCGGACAACTAAGGTTGTGAGCATTTTAAACCATTGGCGAGTTTTTCTAAGGAAGATCATGCGTGTAAAACATCTTTTGCTTTTGAAATAGGAAACGTTAATGCGAATTTTTCCTATACAGAAAATTTTTTTTCATTTTCAAGTCATTAAATTATTAAAAAAATCACACACAGCGACCTGTGATAATCCCACTGTCATCAGTAATAATACTGTACGAAGAATTAAATTTTTAATTATAAAAAAAATAACAGTCTATATTTCTGAGATGAGGTATTATGTACATTATTTACATTATTCGGACCATTGTCGTCATCTTTGTCGCCATATTTATTACAACGTTTCGGCCGTTGTACGCTCCGGCCTTCTTCAGGTAGTTGGAATGTCGAACAGAACCTTTTATTTCGCTCACTGGGGTAGACTGTTCTAGTTCCAATTGCTATGTTTAATGGATGTTAGTTATCAGTTATCTCCTGATAATTTCCGTCTGAAAGTTTTCAAGGTCACATGGCACAGTGGGTAAAGGTTAGATCCAGTGACAGAACCCAAAGAGTGTGAGTTCAATACCCGGTTAAGGCAGTGAGAAATTAACAGGAGATAACTGATAACTGACATCCATTAAACACAGCACGTGGAACTAGAACAGTCTACCCCAGTGAGCGAAATAAATGATTCAGTTAGACATTACAACCAGCTGAAGAAGGCTGGAGCGTACAACGGCCGAAACGTTTTAATAAATATGGCGACAAAGATGAGGACAACTGTCCGAATAATATAAATAATAAAAAAATATTTTCTAAAATATAAGAATTTACTTTTCTAAGGTATATTCTTATGCATCTGGTCTTCTGTACTGAAAGTAGCTGAGGTACCTAATACGAAAAAATACCTTGAATCTTTTTAGTAATTCGGCACGCCCCGTGATCAGCTAGTAGTGACATTATTATTAATAATAATAATAATAATAATAATAATAATAAATGGTATTAATAAAATAAAATATAAAAAATAAAATTAAAATTTAGTTTGAAATAAAACCAAATTAAAAAAAAATCTCCCAGCATGCAACATAACTTTTCTACTGGAAAAACGGATACTACGCGCGAAAAAAGTAAAAACAATACGTCGAAATCACTCTTTTTGCTCCGGATGGGTTAATTTCTTATGCTTGGCACATTGCTTGTTTTACGACGAAAATACTTTCCTGCTATATTATATACAACCTTAAAACGCATATAACAAAAATACACACACATCCGTTCACAAAAATAAATAAAATTACATGATTCTGATTTACAATTTAACACGCTTGCAGTGTTTTTCCATGCATGTTTTTTTTATTCCTGTGAACACGAGACTATCCCTTCCTGTATGAGGTGAGTGACATACCATAGATCATACAGCCCACTACTCGAAAACTATTGCCTATGCCAAAATTAGTTTGTTAATTTGGTAATTATGAAAACAAAGCTATAGAGCATACGGCCGCATCACGTCTGAACTGTGGTTCCCGTGCGATTACCGAATTTAAAGTAACGTTAAGCTTGATCAGTACCATGATGGTTGACCGCTTGCGAGAACACTTTTTCCCATCAAATGTCAAATATTCTATGAATTCCTCTTCGTTGGTCTCCGGATAATAATTAGGCTAACGGCCATATCACGGGGAAACACCGGTCCTCGTACGATCACCGAAGTTAAGCAACGTCGAGTCTGGTCAGTAGCTAGATGGATGACTGCCTGGGAATATCGGGCCCTGTAAGCTTGGATGTACAGATGGTGTAATGGATAATTGTTTGACGGAAAACCGAGTTGCAGTTCTAGTTGGGTTCGGTATATTCACCTACGATTAAACACCTTTGAGAAAGCTATGAATCCACCCCCCCCCCAGCTATGGGTGAATAGCAGGACAGAGTGAGATCGATAGCGTTTGGTGGCAACCGAGCTAGGACAATGAAAACTGAATTCAAACAAGCCTGGAAATCCAGAGATAGAAATATGTGCAAATACCCTTGGCACAGATATATATTCACCTCTTCTTTCAAAGATATGGTTTAATTAGGAATAATTTCATCACTAAGCCACTATAATCTTAAAAAAAAATCTGATAATCTAAATATATATATATATATATATATATATATATTTGGTTGAATAGATGTGAGTTTGTCTGACGATCGCTAAAGCGTGAAACCCAGGATCACAAACTCACATCTATCCAACCAAAGGTGTTAGCTCTATCTCTGATATTGAGCGCTTTCTAATAAGTACCGCGCATATAATATATAAATAAGTATACATATATATATATTTATTTATTTATATTTATATACACACTTTTTTCATTCACACACACACACACACACACACACACACACACACACACACACACATATATATATATATATATATATATATATATATATATATATAATGCCCGGAGGTCGGGGGGGCACTCGCGTTAGAGTTTTACGTTAGGAGTCATCTGGTGCGGACAGGGAAAGATAACAGTTAACCCTAGCCTTGAACAGCTTAAGATTGTAGATCGGGAAGACATTCTCCTGGGAATCGATTCCACAGAGCAGTGGGAGGAAGGTATATAGCTATATATAAAATTCCCACCACACCAAAACAAAGACCTGAAAAAGACCAAAAAATGATAAACAAGTACAAAAAGTAAAAAAAAAAATCTATTTATAAAAGCAGATAAATGCAGGATTGTTGTGACCAAATAATGGTTAAGAAATAACAAAACAAGAGGTTGCAGATAAATCGTTTACTGAACAGTAAATACAACAGAAAATGTTACACGACTTGGGGATATATGTCGGTTGACCAGCGTTGAGTCTATATCACTTTTAATACTTAGCACACCGCCCCTACGAGGGATATATATGACATATGGCCGAGTTTAACGTGGATCAACCCCAAATTCCCCGTAGAAACCGTATAAAGACGTTCGGGTCTGTCTACCTGCCCGAACGAGGCTCTGGCTTTAAATAACCTATAAAATGTTGATAAGCTGTAAAAAACGAATCAATCAATAAATTTACAATTTTAAAAACATTTTAAAATTCTACCTTTTAATGATGATGAATAAATCGACGTTTATCTCAGCGTTTAAAAGACGGCATTTCCTGTTATATTTATTATATACACTTACGCGCAAATACCATTGAGAAAGGTATGAACTTCTCTTTTTCTCCACCACCTATGGGTTAATTATTAAAAATTTTATCACAAAATCATTATTATCTAAAAAAATGCTTAAATCTAAAAATATATTGTCTTTAAATAAACTTTATGTTATGGTCCGATTCCTTATAGCACGCTGATAGTCCAAGGTAGAACCAATAAAGAAGAACTCGAACACAGGTATGGAATAAAACTGATATATTACAAACAGGAATATATATAGAGAAGTAGAAGTGTTAGTATGAACAATCAGGTTTAGTAGAGAGAACAATGTAGTCTCGACCAGTATCACTATTCCAATGTTTTGCAGTAATTTTAAAACCTTGCTCTATGTTAAGGTCCGGTTCCTTGTACCACGGTGATAGTCCAAGGTAGAACCGATAATGAAGAACTCGAACAGCGATATGAAATAACAGAGATATATTACAAACAGGAATATATACAGAGAAGTAGAAAGAGTTAGTACGAACAATCAGGTTTAGTAGTAATTGTCTGAACGCGACTCTGTTTCGGACTGCCTCTGACTCGACTGACTGACTCGCTCGCTCTAACTGACAGACAGACTCCTGACGGACTTCATCCAGACTTCAGACTGAACTCTAGACTTCAGACGGAACGGAAATTTAGTCACCCCCTCCCCACAAGGGCATCATATGGCACAAGGCCAGTTTAACGTGGGATCTCCGAGCCCGTGGGCTCGGCCAAAAATATGCCCTTTGAACCCATATAAACGTGTTCAGGGTCGGTTTACCTCCCCGAAAGAGACGTAACCTCGTTCGGGTTCCTCCCCGCCCGAAGGCAGAGAGTTCAACCGATCAGCCGGTCCGCCGGTCGCCCGACTTCAGGCTGAACTCCCTGCTTCCTCTTGAGGCGCACTATTTATTACGTATGGAATAGTCCATTATGTTATTATGGGTAAGGTCCCATAACACTTTATAGGGTTGATAAATCGTAAAAGAACAAATCAATAAATCGATCAAGTTACAGTTTTAAACGATGAGGAATGAACCAAATTGTTTTTACTAGCCTCCAAATGTCTGGCGCCCAAAAGACTGTCCCAAACGTCTCATTCATGTTGATCGCTAGCTATTATTCCTCTCGTTGCTTTTAAATACTGTTAATTGGTTACAGTTCATCGCATATAAATACATTGCTTTTAGCTTAATTGCCGTATAGATAGCTGGTTTGGCATTACTGAGGCGTCACCTTTTTTTTCCTAAGGCTATTGCCAGGACGTTACAAATAGGCTCTTGTTTATCGAAGACAAATTGTTATTTTCTGTCGCCTCGATTAGCTTCCCTACGCAAAGACGAGAACCATTTACAGATTTCGCGTCCTTTTCCGACAAAGAAATGCCGCCATTTTCATATACCATACCACAAATCCTCTATGGAATGAACAGTCGTAAATTCTCCATTATCTAGCAATGCATTTCAGGGAAATGGATGACAAAATAGTGGCGCCTGCCTGACACTGGGTCAGTATATCGATAGATCTTAAAACTGCAAGCAATTCGCTCTTTAAGGCTATTCTAAAATACGCTTGAGCCAGTTTCATCGGGTCACGTCTATTCTCTCTCTCTCTCTCTCTCTCACACACACACACACACACTCAAATATATATATATATATATATATATATAAATTGTGGATTCTAAATGTGTTTGTTACTTCTTTTTATTTGGAGAATATATATATATATATATATATATATATATATATATATATATATATATATATGTGTGTGTGTGTGTGTGTGTGTGTGTGTGTGTTGTGTGTGTGTGTGTTTAGGTTTGTGTAGCAATCATTCTTTCATTCACATTTCATTTAAAACGACAGACAAGGTGTTTTTATTTATCTTTTTTATACAATTTCTCATGCGGTCTATTTTTTTTTCTTTTCGGATGCTAAATTATATCAAATCTGTCCGAATGTTCTTTTTATCCGACCGCTTTCGGCTATACATTTAGCCATTTTCAAAGACTACATTTTAACTCTTAAAATAAGAAATAGTTTGTTGTATGTATGTTTTATAAAATGTTTTCATTTTTTTGTTTCAAAACACTGTCAAGATATTATGTCCATGTTCAAAGTTAATATTATTAAGTGTTGGTCTGTTTGTTTTTATCAATAAGGCTTCCATTATTTTTAGACTTTTTTTTGCATGTGGATGATACTATTATATTAGTGTTGTCAACAAGTATGTTAAGAATAGTGTCCAGTCGGTTTCCATGAATATTTAAATAAGATCTAATTGAGCTATTGTCAGAAAGGTGTAGAGTGAGTCTGTGTGTCAAACGTGTTGTAATGTGGCCTATATAATTATTTACGAATTTTGATTGATCAGGAATCCAGTATATGTGTGTATGTGTGTGTGGCGAAAACGGTAAAAGCACGTCAGGCTATATGACTGTTCCGTATATGATACGGGTTCGATTCATGTCGGAGGACGCATATTTTCTATGACAATTTCTCGGGCATTCAGGCCGGTAAATGTTGTTAACATTGTTTATTATAAAACACAGCATTTACTTAAATATTTGTATCTAAAAAAAAAATATAAACATAAAAATGTCTTTATATATAATATTTTTTTAAATTGTAAATCCTTATCACTAAGGTTACCGAACATTGCCTGATGACGAGAAAAACAGATATTTCTGTGTAAAATATTTTTCAAATATTTTAAAAGTATTATGGTCTACGTTGTACTGAGTACTATGTAAAAAAAAGTAATTGCCAAAAAAACTGTGGATTCTAAATGTGTTTGTTACTTCTCTTTATTTGCATAATATATATATATATATATATATATATATATATATGTGGGAGGTGAAGTTCAATTTATATTACAGTAAAGTTAATGATATATAATGGCGAAATTCCTTTTTTTTTAAAAGGTGCATTAACCTACCAATCACTCGATGAATGTTATGATATTTGTTTTTAAAAATTATAAGCTGTATAAGGTCTTTCTTTAATACGCAAGTACTTTCGACTATACATTCAGTCATCTTCAGGCATGAAAATTATTTTGTTTTTGGTAAAATTCAGGTAGTACCCGAGACGAAAAATTTAAATGCGAATCGAAATATGTTTTTTTGAAACGTGTTATTGTTAACGGATACAAGCTTTTGGAGCGTGCAGTCGCAACGTTAAGATTGAATTTTTTGTTGAAAATCTAAGAGAGTTCTTTTTTTTAACTAATATGGCAATTTGAGATTTTATTTATTTATTTTTTTTTTGTCGTAGATGTTTATCATTTAATGTGGCATGAACTAAATTGTATATAAATAGAGTTATGTCTCAGTTGCTATCCCGAAAATTTGCACGTCGGATCAGTTCTTTTAAATCAAATATGTGGTGCTGTTCAATTTATATTACAATGAATCATTCATACAAAAAGTAGATTAGTAAAGTTAATGATATAAAAATGGCGAAATCCCTTCGAAAACAAAATTTTAAAGGTGTATTAACCTACAAATCATTTGATGAATATTATGATCCTTGATTCTTGTTCAAATTTTCCCCGGAAAACAGAATGTTCAGAAGAGAATAATAAATTA